GCTACGTTCAGACTGCAGGCCTTAATGCTCAATTCAGATTATTTTTTCTCAGATCTGATTTTTTTGTTTGACAGTTCACATTACTGTTTAAATGTGGCCCATATCAGATTCCAGTGTGAACTGTCGCGGCCTGAAAGTGACCCGCATGCGCAGAAGAATAACACGATGTCACACGCAGCACGCTGTTGCAGGCCACAGAAGAAAACAAGGAGCAACAGAGGTAGCTCCGGTTAACTCACGGGAGACTCCTGTTTTTCAGTGTCCTGTTATGGGTCACATTTCATGACAAGTGTTCACAACTTTCTGTTCGTTTCATTACGGTTTCTTGCGCTGTACAACGCAGCTGCCCCACAACTCCAACCTCTCTTTGTGTCTACTGTGTCCGCTCAGGCAAATGGCATCCACGTAACTCAGAAGAGAGCTCAGTTCAGGTGTAAGAAAGGGAATTTGTGAGCAGATGATAGCGAGGTAGAGGATTAAGAGAGCCACATGTTTAATAATGGCCTTTGTGAAGCTTTTTCGTTCTGTCTACAGCATAACAGCTGCTCTACAGTAACGTCAAAGTCGCATCAAATCCGACATGAGTGTTCACACTGTCATAAAAAGATCAGATCTGAATCACATATGGCCAAAAAAGCAGTCTGAACGTAGCCTTTGATACAGTACATACAGGGATGGACAAAGATACATCAAACTACAGCAGCAACACTATGTATCAAAACAAACTACTTTATTTTTGTGTTTAGTAAAAATATTTTCTGAAGGCACCAAGAAATCACTTTGTAAAATTAAATTTTTATTTACAATTTTCCAGGCTTATAATGCAAAGTCAGCAAATTTAAACACCTAAAATAAAGAACATTTCTGATCAATACACGTAGCTTCATGTTCAATTTCAATTCAATTTTATTTATATACACCAAATCACAACAACAATTATCTCACAGCGCTTTTCATAAAGGAGCTGGTCTAGACCGTACTCTGTGATGCTATTTACAGAAACCCAACAATTCCCACCAAGATCAAGCACTAGGCGACAGAGGCAAGGAAAAACTTCCTTCCTTCCTATCCATATGGATACAGTACGTACAGGGATGGGCAAAGATCCATCAAGCTACAGTACGCCATGTATCAAAATAAACTACTAGTGGATAAAAGATACTTGGAGATCTTGCTGATGTTCACAGCATTCATGTATTTAACCAGAAGGAAACCATTTATATTCATATTAAACTTATTTTAAATGATTGTAAATTAACTATAATTAGACTAACCTCACACTGCGCTCCCACTATCATCCTCCCTCCTTTAAAACTGTTTTCTCCATCTGTTGGTCTAATTAAGCAATAGGTTACGACAGGCCGTGGTACACGCTTATTATATCATTGGGGCGAGATGTAATAAGCAATGCTTTATCACTCTCATTATTTACTTATTTATTTATCTCCGCGGGTAAATACTGATCTGTATCAGATCGCACCGTTGTATACGCTCATTATATCACTACTATGAACCAATCAGATTGCTTTATTTGAGCTACTTGTTTTACAAACCAAACCTCTACAGAACAGAACTAGACCGACTTCAGATATGTGCTGTGCAGTCTAAACCCATTGATGAATAAAAGTTGTGCAAAGAGTGAGTTTTTGTGGTAGGGCGTGCCCGTGGCGTGGGGTCCAAAATCGATGATTAGTGATAAAAGAGGAAGTTATTGTAACTTCATTCTACATGTTCATATCTGCACCAAATGGAATACATAATAAGAGTCGCGCCCTGAACACATCCGCAGGTTGGCTATATCCACTTCAAAATTATCTCTGAAAACCCTTTACATATTGATATATTATTATATTGATGATGTTGCAAAGTGGGTGGGTTTTCCTTAATGGCGTATCTATGGTGTGGCAGCAAAGCTCCATGCTTCGCCATGAAACCTGCTCAAATCTGTACCAAACTTTACGTGCTTGATAACTGTCACACCCCAAACACATCTACATGCCAATATTCAGTTATAGTTACAGTTATATATCGTAGCGCCAAGTGCTATGTAGCGCCATAAAGGGAACACAGGAAGTGATGATTGACACCTGCGTGCAGTGTCCAAACGGCATGTAAAATTCACAGCCGCACCACCAGAGCTCCAGAATCTGCAACTCTCTCTCACCTTGACGCGCTACATCTGCGAGGGTCCGCCCAACGCTGCTTGCAGCTTTAATTAGTATTAAAATCCATTTAAAAAGAACCATTTATTCAGAAAAATTACTAAAGAGCCATTTAAAATAGCTTTTTTACTGAACTAGTTGGGTCCTCAAAATTCTTGAAAATGGTTCCTTACAGAAGGTTCCTCAAAAAACCGTTTGCGGAAATGGTTATTTAAAGAACTACTTGCTAAAAGGTTATTTTTGGAAGTAAAAATGGTTCTTCTGTGGCTTCACTCTGAAGAACCATTTTTGGTTTCAGTTAGGACCTTTATTTTTTCTAGCATGACAGACTAGAGAGAGATGGGGCTTGTGAGAAGTGCAAGAAAAAGTCACGATACGATTCAAGTAGCGAGTAAACACTATAATAAGGTGAAAAATTCAGTACAATAAAAAGGGTGAAATAAGAAATAAGCTGCTAGCACAAGACGTCTTTCATTCTGTGGGAAACACTGCACACAACTGTGGCTCAGAACGAATGGAAGAAGAAAAGTATTGTGAAGTAATGCAAAACATATTGCGATGGAATACGAAAGTATAAATGTAAATATTGTCGCAGTGAAATACATATTCAATACATTTAGTTGGTTATATGAGAAATAAACCAGATCACTGCAGAATTTCCTTTTGAATTATGATTCAGTGCATCCTTAACGTTTTGTAAAGATCATAAAACCAGCACCAACAGAACAAGCACACCTGTCTGTGAAACATTTCTCTCCTTGTCTCCTCCCTCCTTGTCTCCTCCCTCCTTGTGTCGAGCTGTGTGACCTGCAGAGCAGAAACAGGTGTGAGGTATCAGCTGTCAGCAGGTGAACAGAATGTCAGACATTATCTACTGCACTTTGATCACATGACTCGTAGCAGCTGTTTCCTCTAAAGTCTCATCAGCAACATCTTTCTAAAACACAAACATCTTACCCGGTAAGAAGCGAACCACCTTTGTGGTACTGAAAACCCTGAAGTTACCTGGATAAGCTCAAATCCTGCTTCAAGGTACAGAGAGACAAAGAGACACTCTGAGCTCGACACACTCACCTGGATCTGTCAGCCTGATGGTTGAGGGTTTAGGGCGTCTGTCTCTCCTCCTGTGTGAGTTGTCTCTCCTCCTGTGTGAGTTGTCTCTCCTCCTGTGTGAGTTGTCTCTCCTCCTGTGTGATGTGTTTTTCCTCTGCATTTTTTAAAGAGCATCGTTCCAACAACAGCAACAAGAAGCACAGCAAAAACTGGCAGACCGACCGTCAGTCCAAAATTTCCCTTCTTGTCTCCAGCTGTGTGAGAAGCAGAAACAGGTGTGAGGTATCAGCTGTCAGCAGGTGAACAGAATGTCAGACATTATCTACTGCACTTTGATCACATGACTCGTAGCAGCTGTTTCCTCTAAAGTCTCATCAGCAACATCTTTCTAAAACACAAACATCTGATCTGTGATGTTTCTCAGCTCAACTACCAGGAAGCTGCTTCACCTGAGAGACAAAGAGACACTCTGAGCTCTACACGCTGACCTGAGAGACAAAGAGACACTCTGAGCTCTACACACTCACCTGAGAGACAAAGAGACACTCTGAGCTCTACACACTCACCTGAGAGACAAAGAGACACTCTGAGCTCTACACGCTCACCTGAGAGACAAAAAGACACTCTGAGCTCTACAAAGAGACACTCTGAGCTCTACACGCTCACCTGAGAGACAAAAAGACACTCTGAGCTCTACACGCTCACCTGAGAGACAAAGAGACACTCTGAGCTCTACACGCTCACCTGAGAGACAAAGAGACACTCTGAGCTCTACACGCTCACCTGAGAGACAAAGAGACACTCTGAGCTCTACACGCTCACCTGAGAGACAAAAGACACTCTGAGCTCTACAAAGAGACACTCTGAGCTCTACACGCTCACCTGAGAGACAAAAAGACACTCTGAGCTCTACAAAGAGACACTCTGAGCTCTACGCGCTCACCTGAGAGACAAAGAGACACTCTGAGCTCTACACGCTCACCTGAGAGATAAAGAGACACTCTGAGCTCTACGCGCTCACCTGAGAGACAAAGAGACACTCTGAGCTCTACGCGCTCACCTGAGAGACACTCTGAGCTCTACACGCTCACCTGAGAGACAAAGAGACGCTCTGAGCTCTACGCGCTCACCTGAGAGACACTCTGAGCTCTACACACTCACCTGAGAGACAAAGAGACACTCTGAGCTCTACACGCTCACCTGAGTGACAAAGAGACACTCTGAGCTCTACACGCTCACCTGAGTGACAAAGAGACACTCTGAGCTCTACATGCTCACCTGAGAGACAAAGAGACACTCTGAGCTCTACACGCTCACCTGAGTGACAAAGAGACACTCTGAGCTCTACATGCTCACCTGAGAGACAAAGAGACACTCTGAGCTCTACACGCTCACCTGAGAGACAAAGAGACACTCTGAGCTCTACACGCTCACCTGAGAGACAAAGAGACACTCTGAGCTCTACACGCTGACCTGAGAGACAAAGAGACACTCTGAGCTCTACACGCTCACCTGAGTGACAAAGAGACACTCTGAGCTCTACACGCTCACCTGAGTGACAAAGAGACACTCTGAGCTCTACATGCTCACCTGAGAGACAAAGAGACACTCTGAGCTCTACATGCTCACCTGAGAGACAAAGAGACACTCTGAGCTCTACACGCTCACCTGAGAGACAAAGAGACACTCTGAGCTCTACACGCTGACCTGAGAGACAAAGAGACACTCTGAGCTCTACACGCTCACCTGAGAGACAAAGAGACACTCTGAGCTCTACACACTCACCTGTCACTGTCAGCTTGATGGTGCTGAAGAGTTCAGGTTCAGAGTTCAGCAAGTTTCCCTCTTTAATCCAACACTCATATGTTCCAGTGTCGTTGATGGTGACGTTCTTCAGAATCACAGAAACGTCTCCGTCCTTCATCTTTGGATCTTTCAGCTCCACTCGACCACAAAAAGATGGAAGCTGGTCATCTTCACGTGAGCGGTTGTCTCTGAAGAGGAACAGATAACCATCATCTGTCTTCCACGCTATGAATGTGATTTCAGCACCTCTGTGACCCCGACAGGGAAGAGTGGCGTCCTCTCCAGCCTTCACTGTCACCTCCTGTGTCTCTGAACAGAAAGAGAAAAGCCTCCAGTCAGGACTTGTAATGTTTCCTGTTGTTCAAACATCTCTTGATGGAAGCAGCAGAGATCAGGTCTCTATAAAACAGCACATGTGAACTCAGCAGCATTTCAAACCCTGTTCTCAGACAACTTGAGTCCCAGCTGCAGAAAGGAGAGACTAACTCCTCTGCTGCAGCTGCACGCTGACTTCATGTTGCTCATTTCTACAGCTGTCAGTCAAGTCGTCCTCCGCACCATCAGACAGGAGACATTTTACTTTCATCTGCTTTCTGCTTGTTTGGAGATTATTGATTATTGATATTATTTCCCATCTGAATACAGACATCAGCATTTCTGACCCTGAATAAACAGCTGAAATATTAAACATGTGAAGTTTATTATTTCCTAGAAGCTTTGAATCTTTGTCCTTGTCTATGAAGATTCTCAGTCATCCAGGTCATAGTTATCCAACGAAGGTTAAAATGAAGGGCAACTGGACTTGGTTGAAGCTACTGGAAGACGTTTCGTCCCTTATCCAAAGGACTTCTTCAGTTCTGACTGACTGGCAGGGAAACTCAGCTATTTAACCTCAGTGGGGTCGTTATCTCGGGTCATCGATACCGCTGGTTCGTTAGTGTTCCTTGTTGCTGTGACGACAGTCGTTACAGTCGTTAAGACTACCTGTGGCCAAGACTGAATGACCATCGTTGGTATCTTCACCTGAGGCCAATAGGTTACATTTGTTGAGTTTCCTGGGAAGTGATGAAAGGACAGCATTGTAAGTGGGGGATAAGTGGTGGCGTAGACCCCGTCCCCTGTTCAATGACGGCTTCTCAACCCTGGTGTAGATGCTTCCTTGACACCTCTTTCAAACCATCCATCTTCTCTGTCTAAAATGTGCACCTGGTGGTCCTCAAACGAGTGTCCTCTGTCCTTCAGATGTAAGTAGACTGCAGAGTCTTGACCTGAGGAGTTGGCCCTTCTGTGTTGAGCCATGCGTTTGTGTAGTGGTTGTTTAGTCTCCCCAATAGGTAGGCGGGGGGCACTTACAGCCTGTGGATACCCTAAATGGATACCCCACTTACAATGCTGTCCTTTCATCACTTCCCAGGAAACTCAACAAACGTAACCTATTGGCCTCAGGTGAAGATACCAACGATGGTCGTTCAGTCTTGGCCACAGGTAGTCTCAACGACTGTAACGACTGTCGTCACAGCAACAAGGAACACTAACGAACCAGCGGTATCGATGACCCGGGCCAACGACCCCACTGAGGTTAAATAGCTGAGTTTCCCTGCCAGTCAGTCAGAACTGAAGAAGTCCTTTGGATAAGGGACGAAACGTCTTCCAGTAGCTTCAACCAAGTCCAGTTGCCCTTCATTTTAACCTTCGTTGGATAATCTTTGTCCTTGTTTTCCAAATGTTTCAGGAAATCAAAAGATATATATGTATATATTAAAAATATCGTATTGTGAATTATTCATGTGTGTGTAGGGTATAACATGCAATACACCAATCAGTGTCATTTCTCCTTCCCTTTTAAAGCGAGGTGCGCATTGCTATAACAGCTTATGAGTGGGGCATTATGAAAAATACCACGACTCACTGAACTGCAGACTCACAGCAGAGAGGGGATATGGAGAGAAGTGTGGACGTGATATAAAAACCATTTCTGATCATAAAGCCCGTGTTGCTCTGCTGCCAGTGTTACTAGTTTAATTTCTCAGCTTGGTGGTAGCGTCGCTATTTTCTGAATCAAATAGCTTTTCAGTACGAAGCTCTTTTATTGACCGAGTAGCGCCGTAGCTTCCGCACACCTTACATTTTCCCAGGCATTTCTAAAGGATCAGTAAGTGACGTTACCGCCACACACGGACCTGTGTGCGCAGCCGGCAGAAGAGCTTCCTGTGACGGTGACGTCACGTACCGATCCTTGGGTCGGTGGCGTGTCTTTATTCCCCTCCCGCGACTGAGTTCACTTTCTATTCTGATAGTTATTGTAACACCTCTTGTGAGAAGGATCAGGCTCCAGGCTGGACACCTCTTCCTCTAGTGAGGAGGAAACTTTGATATGTAGTGGCAGAAACACACTCACCATCACTTTATCAGTCAAGTGTCGGAACTCTAGTCTGTTAAGAGACAGACGCTGACTCCTCTATGAAACGTCTGGATTCTCACTGCGCTGCGTTAATATAAACTATGATGAACCTGTCGTGGGTCCCCTGCACTGGTTTCTTTATTTTGTTTAGTAATTTTTATTTATGTATGAGAATTTGTCTTTAACGATTTACTTTCATGCTTAGAGATGCTGCTGTCAGTCATTTTAACATCATGTGCGCAATACAGTCACAACTAACAGGCTATCGTGGGGTATTTGAGCAGCAAAACAGAAAGAGCCCAAGTTATAAACCTGACAGGACAGAGGAAACTCTCCAGAGGAAACAGACTTTAGACATGTTTTGGGGGGTCAATGGTGCAATCGCTTTCTGCTGCCTCAATATAGCAATGTACCAACAATGTGCCTGACCACACATCATGTTAAGACCAACACTCCCATAGGCTCTCACATGGGCGCAAGTGCATTTGCTATAACTTGGTCGCTTGGCGTGCAAATGTCAACTGCGCCGGTTGGAAACTAGACACTTGCGCTGCGCTTTGTGCTGGGTGCACGATAGGGCCAAAAATCTTTTTGGTCTTTTTGATAACCGTAGGTTAGGCGCATTTCTGTATTTGTTTTCATCCTGTGGGTGGAAATTGTCGGTGCTGGATCATTCGTTTTGATGATCATGCCTCCCTAAAAGTTTTCACTCTGTTCAGCCAGCTGTTGCTGTTGACAATTGAAAACGAATACAGCCTTTGCGCATGTCCGGCCTGTGCAAGTGGATCGCTGTCAGATGATGAGCCGTCCGATGCAGAATGAATGGCAGAAAATATAACTGAGCCCCCTCCTGCCACCTTGTGGCGCCGGGCCTGGTGTAGAAAAGGCCTAATACCTAAATAATATCTGCATCTGAAATATAAGCCAGTAGCGGGAGCAACAACAGACCATGTAAACACGTGTGGAAGTGCAGCGTGAACATATTGAGTGGACAGTAGTGCATAATGTGAGATATGAAGGCTACTTAAAAAGTCTGACATGAAGGAAACAGGGTCCACTTTGACTGCGTTTGAACACTGAGCATCAACTGCAGTCCAGTCGGCCCTCGCGCTGTTTTGTGATGCGTGTTTTTTTACTTACTCAGTCGTTTCTGCCACACCGATTGCATTATGTTCAGCAGAAGCTCACTTTTATTTTGAAATGTGCTGCTGTGCTGATGTTACTATAATGGCTAGTTAAAAACAGGTGTGGCAAAACAGCTCGAGGCCCGGCTTCACTGTCGTTTTCGAAGTGCGCCTGCTGAGCGCGTGCACCTGCATCTATTTGTCACGTTAATATAACGTTAATCGCCTTACATCGGGTCATTACCCCTTTCATTATTATTTCGGCTGTATGACTCATATTTATATTTTTATTTATTTTTTGCAAATGAGCAAAAAGTAGGTAGACCGAGTACAGTTGGTGAACTTTTTGCCTTTCCATTACCACAGACTGAAAAGAAGTGATTTTTTATATGAATTTTCCTGTACTTGTTTACTAAAATTATTAGCTCATAAACACAAGAAGCGTTTTTGTAGGCCTACCTGAGGAACCTGTCCGTTCTGCTGTGAATCTGCCTAAACAATTCATTGCAAATGTAAAATCCCTATAAAATGAGAATTGAACTGTTTTTATCTTCATTCAGTATTTATATTATAGATTGTTTAGTTAAAAGTAGTTCATTTGTAAAACTTTGTATGGTAATGGAAAACAGCAATAAAGATAATGTTTTTTAAACTAGAACAAAACTTTGAACAATTGCAAATAACAATATTAACTATTAATTTCTTACATCTTGCATCTGAACAGCATGTGCCTCATTAGGATTTTACTGACCACCTCGAACATTTCTTTAGATTTGAAGACGATCATGAAACAAAGTCATGCAATATATGTCAGTTTTAGAGCACGGATTAAGGTTTACTAAAATGTAGCCTAAGTTAACTTTAACAGTCATATAAATATGAGAAGCTCTTCGATGTTCAAGGGACGTGATGAAGTGAAAAAGTTACCCCAGAAAAAAAACTTTCGCCGATATCTTCAGACTGGAGACGCGCATACTTCCAAATGTCCCACCAAGAGGACTTGAGTTATTTAAGGTGTTTCAACTGTACCCCTGTACCAACTCAGTCTACCCAGAGTGGCAACAACATCTGTCTAAATACGGAAAACTCCCGCGGATCAGCTGTTCTACCATCGTCTTCTGATATCTGGGTTTTATGCTGTTGTATAAAACAAAAACTTTCTTCCTCTTTATACCAAAGCACGTGGCACACTCACTCCTCTTACCTTGACACAGAACAAAGATCCATGAACTTGCGAACAAAGTAAGGAGCAGCTCTGATGTTAAAGTGAACATGACAGCAGAGATGCAGCAGCTGATGGAGCTGAGACCAGACTGAGTTCTTCTTCCTGCTCTGTAGCTGTAGTTTGGTCAAAGTCAAAGATATAGACTGTTTGGTCAAAGCAGATCAGATTGGTTTTCTAGCGGGAGGGACGGCATAACTGGCCTCTTTGCTGACTTTTTATATAAAATGTTCAACAATATTTGGCACAATGAACGGTTGCAACGGTATTGGTGCTTACAAGAAACAAAGCACACAGGAGAGAAGATAATGACAAAGATACAAAACAAAAACGAAAATAAACAAACTAACAAAACAGTGTTAAGGGACGTCAGTTTGAGGCACCAATCAAATTAAGCAGTATTCTGCTGTTTTCTTCTTCATACATGCTTTTATTTTACAATGCAAATTGTTTTTTGAAGACAGTAAATAAAGGCTGTTTTTTTATACATTTACATTCGTGGATGAGATACCAAGATAATTAAAGTAGGCTATTTAAAAGCAGTTCATAGTTGTTGCTCTTCATTATAACTCCTAATGTGATGTGTCTAGTGAAACTGAAGGGAGACTGGAGAGTAGGCTCCAGCCAATCATGTGACAGGAGAAAGTTGATGATACACGGAGCAACTTTTAAAGCAATGATGCTGGACAATGTTGAAGCTCTTTAGGATACGTGGGTTAAGGTAACTTTTTCAGAAATGTGTACATAGTTTATTCAAAGTAGACTGTCTGAAGATGTGCGAAGCAGAGTTTCAGCTGTAATGCTTTGTTTTGTAAATTCTTACTAGAGAACTCGTGACCAGCGAACATCAATGAAGGAAGATGAGGGGGGTTGAACATATAGAGCAGTTATTGCCATCAGAAAGAAAGCAGATGGGACGCTTTGGACAACCTTATCATAGTGTTGATGGTTGCACTGAAAATTAAATTTTGCACCAAATTCTTCACCAGATAATTTCCATATGTGTCTAGTAAATGGTTGACAGACCAAATGTTGTTTTCCATCCATACATTGAAATACAGGGACTTATTTCTAAAGAGAATGAATCTGCATTTCCACATGGGCACATCAGGGGGCGTATACAGTCAAAGTCTCTGGCTTGTAGTAATGTGTAGAAATTCAGACACCAATTAGAATATAAAAGTTCCACCAGAGTGTGTCAGAGATCGGTGCAAAATAGAGTCCCGTTCTGTTACCAGAACAGAGACCCGAGTCGAGATGAAAACCATGTAACGACTGACTTTCACCTCCTTCTGGACCTCCTTTTATTGCTCTGTTTCTTGGCTTCATATCATCTCTTGGCTCTCTTTCCTTCTGCACCTGAATCTGGGAAAGTCACTGACTGCCTGCTCCTCCTCTCTGTGTCTTTTGCATGCACTCTGCTTGATCATGCAATTTCATCCATAACCTGACTTTTATGGAATAAACTGGTGTTGTTTGTGCTCCGTGCTAGAAACAGGACATACAGTCAAGTACTCAGGTACACATATCACCAAACATACTAAGTTAAGTGAAACCTTAAATACGGAAGAAATTAATACATGTAAATCAAGATTAGGCAGATTGTTAAATAGAGATCTTTGAAGATGTATTTACCCAGATTATCCTCTGTCTGTTCCCAACAAAGAAGAAAAACCATCAATACAATAAACTTTGATTACATCTGGAAAAGAAAACCTCATTATCTGAACTGTACTGAAACTGTACTATTTTGGAGCATTATAGCCTATTACTAGAGCAATGGTGGTCTACATGTTCATCATTTAAAGTGTTATTTTACAGTGTAAAGTTAGGATCTACAGCTCTGAGTGTGTGTGCTCCTTTCTGTATCTACCTGCCCAGGCTCAACAGTAGCACATGTGTGTGTGTGTGTGTGTGTGTGTGTGTGTGTGTGTGTGAGCAAGTTCGTGTGCTTTGGGAGAAAAGGGAGGGAGCACAGTGAGGCAGCATCAAAAACACTTGCAAAGGAAATCATAGAAGCAGATTTTGTCAAAATTGTATTACAAAGCCTACTGTTTTAATAGGGATACCAGTTGCTGCCTCACGGTGGCAGTCATGTTTAGCTAATAACTCACACAGTTCTGTAATTTCAGTAGCCTTTGCCTGCTCAACATTTTTAAGAAACAAGGCTGTGTCATCAGCCAGCTGACTTATAATTATTTGGTTATAAAAGACATATTTTTTATTGTTTATGATGAGGACTGACAGCATTTCAGCTGTGATTATGAAGAGTGAGGGACAGATATTGAGCTGTTGGTGTCGTTCTAAAATATTTTGTAGTGTTTCTAAATTTCTCCCTAAAGCCACTGAGTTCCAAAGCCCTGAAAATAAAGGAGTGTTTAACCGTGTAAAATGCTTTATAAGAATCCAAAGAGAGAACAAAGCCATCATCGTTATTTATATGCTCATTATAACAAAGTAAATCAAGGACAAGGCGGCCGTTATTGTGTATTTGTACCTTTCATAAATCCTGACGATCACTTATTATTGAGTGAGACCCTCTTTTAGACTATTTGAGAATATGTGTTAGCAATTTGTAGTCATTGTTTAAATGTGTTACTCCCTTCAGTTGTCCAGGATTTTGGGATCTTTGTTTTGAGAACATTTACACTTTGCCTCAACGTCTGTGGAAGTGACAGGTTGGTTATTGCTTCATAAAGTGTCTATGAAGATTCTCAGTCATCCAGGTCATAGTTATCCAACGAAGGTTAAAATCAAGGGCAACTGGACTTGGTTGAAGATACTGGAAGACGTTTCGTCCCTCATCCAAAGGACTTCTTCAGTTCTGACTGACTGGCAGGGAAACTCAGCTATTTAACCTCAGTGGGGTCGTTGGCCCGGGTCATCGATACCGCTGGTTCGTTAGTGTTCCTTGTTGCTGTGACAACAGTCTTTACAGTCGTTAAGACTACCTGTGGCCAAGACTGAACGACCATCGTTGGTATCTTCACCTGAGGCCAATAGGTTACGGTTGTTGAGTTTCCTGGGAAGTGATGAAAGGACAGCATTGTAAGTGGTGGCCAGTATATTCAACCAAGTCCAGTTGCCCTTGACTTTAACCTTCGTTGGATTTCTTCCTCTTTATACCAAAGCACATGGCACACTCACTCCTCGTACCTTGACACAGAACAAACATCCATGAACTTGCGAACAAAGTAAGGAACAGCTCTGATGTTAAAGTGAACATGACAGCAGAGATGCAGCAGCTGATGGAGCTGAGACCAGACTGAGTTCTTCTTCCTGCTCTGTAGCTGTAGTTTGGTCAAAGCCAAAGATATAGACTGTTTGGTCAAAGCAGATGATTTGCTTTCTAGCGTGAGGGACGGCATAGCCTGCCTCTTTGGTGTTACTGAATTCCCACTAGTTATTATTTAAATTTTATATAGGCTATAAAATGTAGGCTACAACAATATTTGGCACAGTGAACGGTTGCAACGGTATTGGTGCTTACAAGAAACAAAGCACACAGGAGAGAAGATAATGACAATGATACAAAACAAACGACCATCGGCCATTAGGAAAAACAAATTAACAGAAACAAAAGTGGAACAGCTCAGACTAAAGGTATCTGCAGCCCTTTCTAATGCGAAGGCCCCCCTTCCAACCTCACCATCCAAGAAAGGAAGGCTGTGACATCTCTGAGCAAGGATCAAACCATCACTATCCTACCTGCTGACAAAGGAAGATGCACGGTAGTCCTTAACACAGCTGACTACCAGAACAAAGTCAACACACTACTAATGGACACAGACACGTATGAGACACTGAGACGAGACCCAAACAGCGGATACAAGAAAAAGGCCATAGAATGTCTACAACAGTTACAGAAGGACAACACCATCACCCGTGAACAATATTACCGTCTGTATCCTGGAGAAGCCATTCCATGCATTTATGGACTACCCAAGATACACAAAGAAGGAGCCCCACTCAGGCCGATTATCAGCAGCATTAACTCGGTCACCTAAAACATTGCCAAACACATTTCTACCATCTTAGCTCCTTTGGTGGGAAACACGCCTCACCACGTCCAAAACTCTATTGACTGTAAACAAAGTTCGAGGACTAAAACTGGATCCAGATGAAACCATGGTATCCTATGACGTGACTTCTTTGTTCACCTGCATCCCCACCATAGAAGCAGTAGAAACCGTTAGGAAACGGCAAACACAAGACAACACCCTGGACAACAGAACTAGACTCAGCACTGACCAAATCTGTAAATTACTCGACCTCTGTCTAAACACCACCTACTTCCAGTACAACGGTGGATTCTACAGACAGAAGCATGACTGTGCCATGGGCTCACCGGTATCCCCGATTGTGGCAAACATCTACATGGAAGAAGTGGAGAATAAAGCCCTCAAATCCTTCAGAGGAACAGCACCGAGCCACTGGTACAGATATGTGACGACACCTGGGTCAAAATTAAAAGCCAGGAAGTGCAAGCCTTCACAGAACACATCAACTCTGTGGACAGTAACATCAAGTTCACACGAGAAGATGTTCACAACAACAGTTTGGCCTTCTTGGACTGCGCTGTACACATTGAAGAGGACAGGAGCCTGCAGATTGGTGTTTACAGAAAACCCACACACAGACCAATACCTACTCTTCGATTCACACCACCCACTGGAGCACAAGCTAGGGGTCATGAGAACACTGCACCACAGAGCAGAAAACATACCAACAAGCGCCCAAGCCAGAGAGAAGGAACAGAACCACCTGAAGGGGGCACTTACAGCCTGTGGAGACCCTAAATGGACCTTTGTGAAGACAGCCACAAGATCCAAGAAGAACAAAACTGCAGGGGAGGAGGACATTTTCTGCCATTCATTCTGCATCTGACGGCTCATCATCTGACAGCGATCCACTTGCACAGGCACAACTGACAATACATACTAGTAAGAGCTCATAGCACATATTGCATCAATGGGGTAAATACCTAGGGAAGGAAGTAAGAGTTAGCAAAAAGTGCAATCAGTACAAGATCATTGTAGGGGATAGAAGAAGAAGAGCACAGGAAGTGCATGTTAGAGGTTAGGAGTTAGAAGTGTTATAAGAGGAAGTGTTCTTGGAAGAAATTAGTTTTCAAGAGCTTCTTGAAGTTAGAGAGGGACGCCCCTGCTCTGATGGCGTGTGGTAGCTTGTTCCACCATCGTGGTGTCACA